ATATACTACGATAAAATTTGAAGGCGCACCTTACTATGCCAACTGCACCCTTAAGAGAGAAGATTACAACTCTTCCTAACCGTCTGTCTCTTTTTCCGTTTTTTATTTATGTTTCTCTCTTTAGAAAACTAAATGTTCCTTACATTTCCTTTGCGAGAACGCTTAGGCCATCTCCATCAAAGGGCTTGAGGATTTGAATTATGCACATTGTACTTTTGGTTTTATTAATCAAAAGTTAACTTGAGATTGCACATATCGAACACTCGAACATTTGGGTTCGAGAAAAGGTCGGTGGCCTTTACCTGATCGATTATTATGTGTTTTCACTATGTTGGGATATGCCCGATGAGTCCAACCATAATGACCTCGTTAATAAATTTATCAAGATATTTTAAGGCATCCATTTATTATGATAAAAACCTTTCCGGATAGTAATGAATATGTAATCTGAAAGCAAAACTAGCTATGTAAATTTGAAGTGAAACATTTCAAAAACCAAAAAGTAGCTCTAAAAATATTAATAAGGAAAGATGGGAACGATCTACAATCAAAATGTAAGTTACAACTATCATGTTGGATAGGACTTTTAATACGTTGTCAACTTCGCGTTGTTTAAAGTTTTAACACTTTGTCTTTATTGTGTCTTTATTGGGGTTTTGAATAGTTCTGAGCTTACAGAAACCTTGTTTCTGAGCTTACAGAAACCTTGTTTAAGGGCGGGTTTGGGTGCGGCGATAAACCTATTGCAGTGAGTCCACTATTCCAAAGTCTATATTGGGGATGGATTTTCGATCCTAGGGTTTATGCGTTTGTCTTCTACACCACTATAGTCATAAACCTAAAAGAACAAAAGAATTTTGAGTCTTCCATTTTGCACATCTTTTTAGATCATTTATTTCATTTCTTCAAAGATCATTTGTTTTTGGAGCTTCAAATGCATCGATCTAAGTCGGAAATTCTATAAAGTGCTTCGCTTGCTAAGTCCTTTGAAACATGATTTAACGACCAATCAAATTAGGTTTTTTTTTTTTTTTTTTTTTTTTTTTTTTTTTTTTTAATTTAATGCGGTAATGGGTCCCATCCTTTCCTAGATTGCCATAACAGAACCCCAGAACAAACATGAGAAATATGATGATTGTATGCTAAACTAGATGAAAATTATTTCTAATTTTGTAACACTTAGATAAGAAAAAGTTTTTATGAGAAAGTTTTTATAAGATTGCAGCCTTATACTATAGAAGTAAGGTGCATCTCAAGAATCATGTACAAAAGAGTACGGTGATGTACACTATGTGTCATTGGGACCATAGTTTATTTATACTCCGTCAATCAAAAGACCTACTTGTGAGGATTTTTTCTATTTGAAAGCTTGGGAACCACTTAAGAAGTACTAGATGATTATTCTAAAAGAAACTTAATTAGAGTCTTCTAACACTTAGATATCCCGATCTAAAAAATGGACGGCCTCAAATTATTCTCAAAATAATATTTTCTTTAGCCGCAAAGAAGGTACAATTACAGTTTTTCTTTTTTATTGAAATTAATCTATGGGTTGAATAGATTATATCCCCAAAATTTAGGTACCTAAAAGTATTTCAAGGTGAGGTTTTACCCCGTGAGGTTTTTACCCGAGGGAGTAAATGTGTATTTTACTCTTGTAAGAGTAGAATATCATTTGGCAAAGAGTATTTAGGAAGTTGGAAACCGTCCAATTAATCATCTAAACCTCAAGATACATGGATATAAAGAAAAAACAAAAAAATAAAATTTCCAATCCTAGAAATAATGCATCTTGTAACAAGTTCTATAGACAATCTATTTTCAAGATTTTCAAATGTTCACGGATTTTCTCGATTTGCATTGTTTTTGAAATCTTAAATTCATAATTGTAGTTGAACAGAGATTTTCACGCCATCTTAAGGTTTTCTAAACCAAAACTGCAACTTCCAACAAAATTTAGAGGTGCACCATATCTTCCAACAAAATTTAGAGGTGCACCATACTTATACATTACAAGCTAGGCACCTTATACAAACCTCACCCCCATGACAATGAATATTTACCAGATTCGTTTCCCTTGATATGTCTCATGTGGTCATTTTCTTTCCTAGCTGCCCCCTATGGTCTTTGAGTGTCAATCTAGTTTGGCAATGGCCAGACCGCATGGACAGGCTTGGTCATGAAATATATTCTAGGGCCGGGCCTTGGTCACGCATAATGATCGGGGCAAGGTTAAAGCTTGGAACTGGGCTTGGGCCTGGGCATGTGCCACCGACCCGACCCGGAGAGGTGAAGACCCGGTGTAACCGGACCGACGCGGATAGGATCAAGTTCAGGGCTTCGGCTAGTGCCCCTTCAGCAAGGTCAAGGGCGATGGGCTTGGGTTAGCTTGGGCCAACACTGGCCCAGTCCCAGCCGGGCCCATTGCCAGCCTTGGGCTTATTTATCGTAATTTATTGGCAGCTGACTGTAGGCATCCAGTCGACACACATTATGCCAAAAAACAACTCGGCCTTTGTAACACAAGCATGTACTTCAAGAAGTTCCACTAGAAAAGCATTCACACTACTGAAACACCTAAGCATCTTTCTATTAAGGGCAAGAGTCCACCCTAAAACTATAGGTAAAAAAAGCATGGGTTTGGCTAAACCCATTGTAAAGACTGTGCCTCCACATTCTTGTAAAACAAAGCACCCAATGTCCTTAACTAGATAAAACCCTATCTTCTTAAGTAGCTATATAAAAAATAAAAAGTAAACATAAAAATATCCAATCTCCTTATGCAAACAACAACAATCTCCCTAAGTAGAAGAATCCTTATGGCCAAGGATTTGGTCGTGATAAGCTTTGAAGACAGCAAGAAGCTTATCACAGGGTGGAAAAACCTCCTTCACCACTTCAACCTTTGTAAATTCTTCAGTCCACGAACTTAGATGAGGAAACATTTCAGGATCAAAAACATTTATACCAGCTGCTTCCCCTACCACAGGCAGCCAAAAAGAAAATCCACATGCAACGATGTCCAAAAGGCCAATTGTTTCGCCATTAAAGAACTTCCCTTTGAGTGCTTCGTCTAAGATTTTAAGGCTCTCTTGTGCATCCTTGATGGCCTTCTCTTTTTCGTCCCCCTGAGTACGGTAAGCCATAACGACTGCTGCTACCTAGTGTGCATGAGGGAAAGCACGAAATTCGTCATGCCTGGTTTTTGAAACTTTGAAGGGAAAGTACATCAGAGAGCACGTACACTAATTGGGGAACACCCTCTACCTTACTCTTGCAAAAGGGCCACACCAGGTTTTTATTCAGTTTGAAAGTTTGCATCTACTTTAGATGATGAGTATTTGCAACAAAAAAAGTGTTCATTTTTATGTCATATATACTAAGATTTGACCTTCAGAATTTGGACAGTGTCAGTTTAGTATCAAGATGTAAACTTTTTCAGGCAGATATGATTTCTCAATCTTTATATTTTGAGGTTGATCAATAGGTTGACGAAATTATATTCCCAAAATTTGGAGTGTTAAAAATACTCCCAAGTAGAGATTTATCCGAAGGGGTGAATGGAAATTATGCTCCCACAGGAGCTTATTATTCATGGGTGCAGTTTGTATAGAGCTGAGGTACTAAACAATCAAAGCAAAGGGCACCTTTCAAATAGTGTTGAGAACAGTGGTTTTAATACTGGAAATATTTGTGATGGTTTTATAATATATTTTCATCTTTAATTATAAAATTTAAAGCTCAAAAAATAGTATAGATAAAGCATATCTATGAAAACGTGAAAATCTTTAAAATTGACGGTCCAAAAATGTGTTTCAAGATGCACTATTTTCAAATTTGAAATTCGTGTTTTTCTCTTGGTCATGCATTTTTATATCGAGATGATCAATTTAAGAATATTTAGGTATCAAAATAACCTCTTCTAGTGAAATTTTTGAGGCGGGCTTTAATTTGATGGTTTAGAGCCTCGGCTCTATATAAACGTTTTCCATTATTCATAGGCTATGCTATAATCCCAATTCTACCAGAAAGAGAAGTACTTTGCCTTAGATAAACGTCAAAGAAAGATCAAAATTCAAATATCTCTTCTGGACATAATCATCTATTGATTTTTAGGTGGTTCCCAAAATTTGAGATTGAAAAAAAAAAAAAGAAAACAAAACTTCCCAAGTTAGTCATTTGACCGAAGGAGTAAGAGCACAGTAGGCTCCAATGGGAGCATAGCATTTGCCCTCTAAAAGTCCTGGTCCGCTTAAGATCCCAGTGACACATTTTCAACGCTTGTACACTAATTTGACACTATTTATAAATAAAAATCAGCTGTTCAAAACTTTAACCTAATCAACTTCTTCCTTATCTAAATAAATAAACAGGATCGTGGATCGTATCACCTAGATACATTAGATTTTAATATTAATTTAAGAAGAATACATTTTATCGTCTTCGTTACAAAGGGCGAATAAGTGGGTTGTGAGATTTAAATTCCCTTCCAGTACACTTTTTTGTCTTCCAAACTCATTGAATCTTCAACATGTATACAGTACTCCCTCGGGAGCATATTGTACACTTATTCCCTCTCCCAAAAGACCAATTTGGGAAGATTTGTTTTATCCGGGAACTAGTCATATATTATAATCAAACGGTGAATTTTATATTTTGTAACACTTGGATCTCAACTTTCTTAAACTTACTTGGAGAATGCAATTTGGAAATATTTTTTAATGAGTATTGTATATGGGATTAAAATTGTTACATCCCCAAGACTTAAAGATCCTAAAAAGACGCCTAGATTAGGTTTTGACCAAGAGAATAAATGGATGGACTGCTCCCTCGGGAGCATGAAATCTTTTTTTTTTTTGGGGATGGGGGAGGGGGGGGAGTTCAATCCTTCTCGTTGAATCTCATTCTAAAAGCTTTCCAGAAGCTTTTTTTCCTCCTCCTTCTTCTTTCTTTCTTTTTATTATTTATTTATTTATTTATTTATTTTTATTTTTATTTCTGTATAATTCAATGGGGCTGACAGACCCCTACCATTTTTTTAGGAATTAGTTTTTTTTTTAAGGTGTTAGTTGCGAAGCTTTCCATAAAGTGTATCATGGGTTTAAATTTGACTCCCCATTAGATAGGATATTTGGCTCCAAATCTTATTTAAGAGAAAAAAGTTATCAATTAAGTTAAGATATTAAAGACGCTCAATCTTTAATTTAAATTTGAAATTCCCATCAAGTATCAACATAAAGCTCCATCAAAATAAATACAAAAGAACTCTCATTACGATAGATACCTATCTCGAAACCTAATAATGGAACTTTATTCCAATTTAGAAAATAGTAGGAATTTAAAAGATAAAGTTAAAAATTGGGTAACAGTTTAAATAAAAATTTCATGAAAAACAAAGTGAGAGACCAACATGTTTTGGGAATAGTATTGAATGAGAATGAGTATACATTGTAAGAAAGTTAAATACAATTTATTATTTTTCATTGGAATTATTAAAATTTTCCTCTAATTTTGAAGTTGGAGTATACGCGCTTGCTATTACCGACTAATATTAAAATAAACAAATAAAATGTTCCCAAGTGGCGTACGTGCTCCCTTATGTACTACTTTCCCTGAGAGTTGTAGTTGAAGAGGTGTTGAACAAAATTCGTAAGCTGTAGTTGAAGAGGTGTTGGACACAAACTTAGTGGTGGAAGGGGACCAGAGGATAACTGAGAAATTAATCTCCCTCCCACTTGGAGAAGGGGTAAGATGATTGCATTATGGAGGAGATGTCGCAATGTCCATACCTGATTCTAAGGCAACATACCAAAAGAAACTCAACTCCGAAGAAGGGGCAGCCATAAATCAAAGGGCTTTTCGGACAACAAATCCAAACGCTTCACAATGGGGGCAGCAAAAACCAAATTCCCTGTACTCAATAAAAAAAAGGACAACTAATGGCATTAAGTATAAATCAAAGAGCTCTCCGGACAACGAATCAAAAAGCTTCCATTAATTATTAACCGAAGGTGTATTAATTTGATCACGAAGGTCATTAGCTTTCTTATATCTCATTCCCAAGCTTGATCTAGACTCAATAAAAAAAAAAGACAACTAATGGCATTAAGTATAAATAGCTCTAATACCAATGAAAGAAAGACTAATGTGATCTTATCGTGGAATTTTTTTATTTTATTTTTTCTCTTTTAGCCCGTTTTCTTTTATTTTTGTTTTCTTTCGGCAAAAGATTACTTAGTCTTATTACAATAACTCTTACTTCAAATAAAATAAAACTACCAAATCCAAGGTCTTAAAAACCTTGATGCCACTAAACCAATTTTCTTTAAACAAATAAAATATCGACAATTCTTGTGCTTGGGAATATAAAGATAATATAATTAAATATGACAAGAAACAAAAGGAGAGTACCGGAGATTACCTCATCCAAGCTTATTACACGCCACTTCGATTCACCACTATCCGATGGCGCGGGATCAAGCCTTCAATCTCAACCAGAAAAGCAAGTTTAGACCAAACCCTCTAATGGAACTATGAACTCCTTTATCACAAATCTGAAACCCTTAGGTGAATCCCCTTAGCAACCTAGTTTGAGAGAAATATTCATCTTTTCTACCACAACCCTATAGTCTAAAACCCCAATGAGAGATGAGAGATCATGAGAGACACCATGAGAGTGATGACAACTCTCAAAGCCTAAACTCTTTAGATTCTTTCACAATGTGGAAGAGAGAAAGATCTCAAAGATGAGGGTGTGAGGCATGCCCCCTTTGGGCTTTCATGAGAGAGAAAATAGAGAAACTTTTCTTAAGAGAGAGATATAGAGAGTTAACGTGTAGATGGGCCCTCCATTCCATGGATGGGCCATCAACATTATGGAAGGTACTAGAACCTTTTTCCCCCATTCCTAAACAATTTTTTCATCAATAGAAATTAAATAGAATAATTGTATTCTTAATATAGTACTTACCAAAATTATGCACAAGCCTTTTCATGCTTTTCAAAAATCTTTTGAAAATTTCCTCAAGAAAAAATCTTTCCAAAACACTTCAAAGCTTTCTCTTCAAGCCAACGCTTGAACTAACACAAGGAAAGTTTCATTAGGGTGGGGTGTGCCACCCTAGGTGGTACTTCATGAGCCCCACCAACATGCAATGAGGGCTCGTAATCCCAGTTAGGTTTTCCCCTAGAGAAGCACCAAGGCACCTAGACCTAATGCGACCGCAGCTCATATAGTGCATTGGGGTATCTCATGTACATGCATAAACTTCACCATAAAATGTGGTTCGCTTTTCTGAAACAGCTATCATTACACATGTCGTGTGATGATTCGTGGATGAGGCTTTGACCCTCCATCTTTGATGACCACCATCACACACAAGAGTAACACAATCTCTTGGCTTACTCATCTAGGCTTATTCTGACTTCATCAAGGGATGACCTATTAGAACCCTTGTTGGATAGTTTTTTATACCCAGGTAACATAGGTTTTTTCCAACCAATTGCTCTAGCGCGTCAAGCTCAGTTCGATATCAACAAACATCATTTGCTTAGTATGGTCCACGAGGGACCACTCTCTCACCAAGTTCATGTTCCATGATATCATTTCATTTTACAAGCACTCATAAGGCCTTTAATTGCCACATTCACCCAACAGTGTAGTGTATTCCCCAAGTAATGCACATGCTCTAGGTGTACTTCCACTTCAATTGCGCAAAAACTAGACATGACAAGTTTTGTGCTTTGCCTCATATACAGTTGGGACCGGTAGCCAGGACTGCTTTTCGCTCACAGGGGGATGAGAAGGCCATCAAAGACGTACAAGAGGGCCTCAAATCCTAGAAGGAGGACTCACAGGGAAGTTTTTTTAGTGGAAAAACAATTGGGTTTTTGGACATTGTTGTATGCAGAATTGCCTTTTGGCTACCTGTGTTAGGGGAAGCAACAGGTATAAAGTTTTTTACCCTGAAAATTTGCCTGGTCAAAGTTCGTAGATTGAAGAATTTACAAATGCTAAAGTGGTGAAGGACTCTTTTCCACCCCGTGATAAGCTTCTTGCTGCCCTCAAAGCTCACTGGCCCTAAAGAGGTTTCTTGTGAGGTTGATCGTTGTTGTTTGTTTTATCTTACTATGGAGATTGTTCCTT